CATGGTGAAAGCCGATCCAGACGATCGACAGCGCGAAGTTTATGTATTTCCTCAGCGACCAGCACGGAACAGCTCTAGGCATGACAAAGCAGATATCGTCCTCTTTTGGAAGGCCAAACAAAGTAGTTTTGCTTTCACAACGAAACACACAACGCCTTTACGACATGGTGGCGGCGGCAACAACAATACTACAACGAGAATAAAAGTTACTTTCTTTGTGTGAACATTTGAGTGGCCTTATGCAAATCTTCCCACATTGTGACGTAGACATGTGGGGGCGTGTTAGAACGAGCCGTTTTAGGTAGGCGTGGTTGTCTCTTAAGTTTTATAAAGAATATCTCTTTGGATTTGAGACTTTAGTCTTTGCAACTTTACAGATCTTCTTTATGCACCAAGAGCTTGTAACACTCCAAAGAGAAAGGAAAAATTGAAATCGCATCATATGACCCCTTTAATGCACTGTATGCACTAGCATTTAAAGGTTTGCGGTCAGTAAGATGTTTTTGAAAGAAGTCTCTTGCATTTATTTGATCAGTAAAAAAAATAACATTGTGAAATATTATATCAATTTAAACAACTGTGCTCTATTATAATACATTTAAACATGTAATGTAAAGCTGAATTTTCAGCATCATTACCCCCAGTTTTCAGTATCACATGATCCTTCAGAAATCATTCTAATATGCTGATGTGATGGTTAAAAACATTTAGTTTTATAATCAATGTTGTAAACAGTTGTGCTGGTTAATATTTTTGTGGAAATCATGACTTTTTCCAGTTTCTTTAATAAATAAATAGTTCAAAAGAACATAATTTATTTGAAATAGAAATGTTCTAATGTTCTTTAGAAATAGAAATGTTCTAATCTGAACAATACAAATTACTATACTCTTATCTTACACTTATTTTGATCAATTTAATAAATCCTTAGCATTACTAAAGTATTAATATCTTTAAAAAATCTTACTATCCCCAAAACTTTTGAACAGTAGTATACCTACATATTATTTATGTATTTGCTCTAAAGTTTTGTCTTTTTTCCCCAATCAAAGCAACCATCATTTTGATCAAACGGAAGAAAATTAGATAACTAAGAAGATTTAAAACATTTAAATGTAAAACTAAAATATTTATTTATACACAGCAAGTTAACATTCCATAGTAAAATATTTTGCGAAATATTTTAGCATTTTAAAAATGTCACAAAGAGGCTAAATAAGATGATCACATGCTTTTTGTCAATGTAAATTTAATCAGAATTTTAATCACTGATATGGACAGTTTGAAATAAATCATGGAAATGAATCAAATGTACTCTGATGTCATTTTTGCTACTGAAAAACATCTGAAAGCTCCAAAAATGTGCGAGTGGGGAAATTAGAAAGTAGTCTAATGGCACACACTTTAGGAAACCTAATTGGCTAAGTCAACAGAATCATTGTGGCTATATTGTGACTTCAATGCAACAGTTTATGCAAGAATGCCTTTACAATTAACAAAGTCATTCATTTAGCTTTAGGTCCACATAAACATCAAGGTCGACCTGCATGCACACACACACACACACACACACACACACTCATACAGCAAACTTTTGAGGGTGATAACTGACATCTTTTGAAGAGAAGCTGTGATATTTAATGACTAATGGTTTAAAGTTAATGATTGTCCAGAGGGGGTCTCCAGCAATTAACATGATTCCCCTTTCTATCAGAAGTCCGCTGGGAGATCGAGACAATTCTGACCTCAGCAGAGGAAATACAGAGATTACAAGCTCCCCCGAGATACTCTACAATAAGCGTAAAGGTGAAATATTTAAAATACTGTATGCAGATACACTACAATGAGCTCATTCACATGTTGATTCACCTGAAAAGTGTTAACACTATTATCAAAACAACCAGCCATAGAAGAACCATTTTGGTCTCCCCACAGAAACGTTCAGTTCTTCGAAGAACCAGGTTTTCCTTGGTGTTAAGAACATTTTAATAATCTAAAGAAACTTATTTCACTTTATTTCACAAGTTTTCTAGTGAAAATGCTCCATGAATTTTAAAGGTTCTTCATGGAACCATCGATGCAGATAAAGAACCTTTTCAACAGTCTTTATTTTTGCAATTTTGTTTAATAACACGAAAGGTGCAGAAAGGACACTTTACATCATCAACAACAACAAAAAGTCCTGTTCAGATCATTTAAAATAGGCTATTTTATATATATTTTTTTTCATTATTTTTTTTCCCTGAGTAACTGATGAGTGCCGCCATGATGGATTCTAACTTCCGCTTGGGGGTTCTTGTGTTCCGGTCTCCATAAAAATCCATGTTAAACTGGGGTAAAAAAGATTGACTGAATTAATTTAACTGAAACTTTTTCACTATAACTAAATATAAAAATGTGCGCAGGGTTAAGCTGTGCTGTTGTTGCTGGCTGTATGACCTGCATAAACGATGACAGCACTTAAGTTAAAATACTGTATGTGAAATAATAAAATAATGTGTTAAAATAATGTGTGCTCTCATCATTTTGTAGACAAAATCCTGCAAACTTCGCCCCGATTGGAAGCTGTATATGTGCCCTCATCCGTTTTCAATGCAGCTAACCTTGTCTAACTTCATGTCATCAATCAGCTTCATGTTAGCTAACTTCATGTCATCTTCCCAGTCATTCAAATATGACAGCTGAGTTACTGCAAAAAGACGGTCATTGCGACACTGTAAAGTGATGAAATTATGGTGCCATGTGTTTTTTAAAACCATTTTCATAGGTTTAACATTATATTATCAGATCAGAAAATATGTTAATTTGATTTAGAAACACCAGAGACCAGAAATGTAAAGCATCCTTTCAGTCCGGCGAGACTGAAGGAAAAAGTTGGATAAGATGAGTTCTAATCTCTATGGATATAGAGGACTCCATTGACTCCATTGGGCATCTCTTTTATTGCTCATCCTTCACCTCCTAATGAACCCAAACTCACTAATAATGATCCTGGGTGTCCTTCAGACCAGCAAGGGCGGCCAGAACCTTCACACACACACACACACACACACACACACACACACACACGATAGTCTTTACTGCAGTGCTGGCTAACTCTCAGACTTTTAAGAGCAGGAGCTAAATTACCCACAATGCTTCAACAACTGCAGACAGAAAGTGTCATACCCTTGAAAACTGGAGTTGTAATTGAATATAAAATGAAATTAGCTTTTTATAAAGTTCCAGTATTATGCACAAGAAACAATAAAATATTAATATTATTGATGCTAAGCATGACTTTCGATGACTTTCAAATATATCCTCTTATCCACTCTCATTGTGTGCATTTTATGTATCAAACAAGCCATGTTAACAACGCTATAGGCTGAAGCAGGAATTAGTCAAAAAACATGCAAGCACCACTGCATCAGCGTTGTTAAACAGCGCGGCCCTCTCCCATGGGAAATACAGGCGCATAAACAGCCCCTCAAACCATAAAACTTCAGTAAAATGGAGGGCTCTAATCCCAAACCGTATTTACGCCCCTGCTGGAGAGACTCAATTAATGCTGGCCATGCAGGAATCAAGCTGGGACGGAATAAGTTAATTGGGATCAATCAGCTCGGAACTCGACCGTTTCCCCAGAGTCGGACGCCTTAGGCAAGCAGGATCTGATGGCAACTGCTTGAATGATTTGTTAACCACCGACCGGGTTGTTGGTGATGCGGTTGAGCGGCTCTGACTCAACACAAACTGGAAAAGCAAGGGAGAATTCAATGTCACCCCTGTAACTAGAGATGTGCAAAGACTCAAAGAGAGCGACAGGGGGTAGGATACCACTTTCAGAAAAATATACTGTATGCAGGGGAACGGCTGTATTTAATGGAACAGTTCACATAAAATGAAAATGTTGTTTAATTTTATATTATCTGCAAGTATAGTTTTAAAAATGCTTTTTTAAGATTTGAAGTACACTACAAGTGCACATTCAGTACAATTAATCACACTTCTTAGCTCCAAAATGACCAAAAAGCACCATAAATTAAGTCTCTACGACTTATGCAGTACAGTCTTCTGAATCTATGCAAAAGCTTTGCGTGAAAAACAGACTAAATTTAAGACATTATCACTAAATAAAAAGCTTCCCCTCTGTTTGCTCAAATTAAATAGCAGAATTAGACGCATAATGTCATGTTTGACGTCTTTCAATCAAGAGACACATGCAACCTAAAAATGAAACCTGACATGATGCGTAATGGTGCCAAATTTGTCCCTTTTCTCTTTCATTATCTGGAAACACACCAGGATATAATTTTTTAATGGGACGAGGAAAAGTCATGAGGAATGACATGAAGGTGAGTAAATGACTGAATTTGAACTTTTGGGGAAACTATACCTTATTAATAAATTAATTATGTTGAAAAATGTAATCTTGGTGGTGATACTTTAAGAACATTAGACTAAGAAAAAAAAACTGCTCAGATGTACAGTGAATTTATACTGCTCAGACGCACAGCGACATTCGACCACAAACCATCAGCTTAATAACACAATAAATTAAATGGACTCATAAAATGGACTCAAACACTTTGTGCAACCTCACTTCTTCAGTACGTCTTAATGAAATCAATATACTGGACGTGGGCCCATGCCCTAATGCAAGGAAAACTAGATTACATTGACTTGTATGTCTCTGTAATTAAATAAGGCCATACTGAGCAGCTGCACACAGTTATTTACTATTCCATTTACTCATTGAGCTTCAGTAAAGAGCTTGTGTGTGTATGCAGACATTTACCTCAAATCATTTTTAACTGACCTTCAACTACTGCCCGAGACTAGATCGTGTGATGGTAAGGTTCTTGGAATGCATTTTTAATCATTTGTAATTGAATTTTTAATTTAATGAAACAAACAAACCCACGTGCACTCGCAAAAATGGCTTTAATTATTTAAAACATTGTGATGGAACTCAAAGTGAATGTGCAGTGTGAACGGGTTTTAGGCTTGAGACTCACGTCAGGATATTCTTTAACAGGCACATAGAGTTTCTCTTGGAGTTGAACGATGGGGCCGACGGCGTCCGGGAGCTCGGAGCATCTCTTCTCCGTGCTGCCGTTTAAAGTGTCATTGTACATGTCCTTTCGTACCCTGCTGATCTCTGAAATAAAGAGAAACACATGCACCATGAGTTAACTACATCAATCAGGATACAGACTAGGCAAGAACAGGATTTTAACTATAGTGACAGGCTATATGCTACATTTCCTTTACCAATGGATTATATGCACTTTAATATGGCAGTAGAAGAGTGCAAATGCTCCTTAAACACTGCTCTTAAACCTAATGAACCATTCAGTATGTTACAGCATCTACAGTCACACAGAATGATTTAACTGAGTAGAGCATGATCCTAGATTAACAGTTTTGCTGTTTGACAATATGGTAATCAAACAGTTTAGGGTAGCACAATTACATAATTAAAACAACTGTGTGATTATTAATCATTAAATACACTCAGTGTGGGTCTCATGATTCAGTGTTTTCAGGAGTCTCAGAGAAAATCTTTTTTTTTTTTTTTTTACAAAGTGCATTGTGAATGCAAAGCAATTCAGGTTCACAATATTTTCACATTCCAAATGCTTTTGGCAGCTACGGGTTACAGTATTACACAAAACCAATACTGAAACACAGAAAAAGGGTCTCATTAAAGGCCCTTCTAACCAGATGTAAGAGTGCTATTTGAAAGTAAAGCTGTTATGACAAAAAATATATTACTATTGCATACTGAAATTTTATTTTATTTACACTGCCATTCAAAAGTTTACGTTTGGCAAGTTTTTTTTTTTAAGCTGCATTTTTTGTTTATAAAAAACGCAGTTAAACTGTAATATGAAATATTATTATAATATATAATGCAATAACTTTTATATTTAATATATTTTATTTATTTGAATACAGTTTAACATTTTATTTACTCCTGTGATGCAAAGCTGAATTTTCAGAATAATTTCTCCAGTCTTCAATGTCACATGATCCTTCAGAAATAATTCTAATATGCTGATTTGCAGCTCAAGATTTTTTTTCTTATTTTTGTCAATGTTTCCTTCAGGGCTCCTTGATGCAGTTTATAAAGTAAAAAAAACAGCATTCATTCATTTGTTCATTCGTTCGTTCATTCATTAATTTTTTTGTAACAATGTAAAGATCTTTACTGTCCCTTTTGATCAATTTAATATGTCCTTGCTAAATAAATTAAGAGTTTGGTTCCAAAACGCTATAAATCCATTTTGATTAATTTGAGTAAAAATGTGTTTTCTTTACCAAGAAAGTGGCAAGATGAAAAACAATATTTTCTGTTTCAAACTTTCACATAGCATCTTTAGGTTCTAATAACGTTAAAAATTCAAATCCAGATTTTGATTTTCAAAGATTTATTAAAAAATTGTATTATTTTTTTCCCCAAAATGCAATTAATCCATGACACTTTTTTTTTTTTTTTTCATTGAATCAATATAAAAGTTATTTTTCATATTGAAACTGTTGAAAATACACAACATAGTAAATTGATCCACATATGACAGCCTCTGAACTTGGTAAATACTAATCTTATATACACAGGCACATGCACACCTAGACATCAAAGGGGGCTTGAGCACCTGCCCTATTTCTTCCTCGAGAGAAAGTGCCCTTTTTTCTGGGGAGTGTTTTTTTTTTTCTTTTTCTTTTTTAAATAAATGAATATATGTATATATGTGTGTGCGTGTGTGTGTGTTTCTGTTTGCGCACAGCTTTCCCTGTCAAACAAATAAAACATCAAAATATCAGGTTGGGTCGGGAAATGTTGAGGCTTTCTCTCCGTAGCACAGCAGTGTAGCACACATTAATCGGCACATGCACATCACAGACAGGCAGAGAGCCGCAGAAGTGAAGCCCTCCCTCCTTTTCCAGTTGTGTTTGTCTCGGTGTGGAGGTGAGTGGTGAGTGGTGCTGAACAACAGACTACGCTATCTGTGCCTCGAATTTACAGCTAATTATCCAAAAGACAAAAGGCAATTATAGTTAATTTGTCTCGCTAACATCCATGACTCATGAGAGAGATACCATGTAAGTTAGTAGGTTAGACCAGTGTGCGTTTCACTGCATGATTCAGTTTATTAAAATGCATTTAGAATGATCACAAAATTCAAGATATGGGGGCAGAAATGTATATATTTATATAATTTAATATAGTTAATCAGTATCACGTGAAGACTAACGTTTTTTCCATCAAAAAGCAGCATGATTACAAATGTGATATTGATTTTATACAGCAGGTCAATAAACAAGAATTTAATATTAAGACACTTATGTTTTAGACACAATATTGACTGTTTTTGCTTTATTTCGTCAACAAATATAATTCCAATTTGCGTCTCTGAGCAACATGACGCTGATTTGTTCCTGAATAAATCAACCGTTTAAATGATTCGGTTCAATCGCAATGACTCATTTATTAACAGTGACTTGCTGCCACCTACTGGCATTTTTAATTTCACATTTAAAGTATATTTTAAATTTTTTTAAATAATTTCAAATATCAGTATTCAACGTTTTATGTTTAAAATATCAAAACAGTATTAATGCATTTGTAACTGCAGGTTAAATACATTCATGTCCTGCATTAAACAATGTGTAAAAGCATCTAGATGCAGCTTCTGTGTTTTCTCTGCATTGCATATTAATTTTGTCAATACTGATTTAATTTGCTTGGTAACAGCCCAGATGACTTATTATTCTAATTGACTGATTCAATTTAAGAATTTGACTGAAAAGATGATGCACACTTTTAGAAAAAATTGCTTTATAAAGGTAAAAATACCCATAGAAGGTAAAAATCAATTTAAACTTATTGGAAAAGATTAATTTCTATCACTGCTGTGAACTGATCACCACACAGACTATGAAGAATATCAAAAACTTTAGGAGTCAGCTGTCCACGGTAGTCCTTAAGATATCAGCACAATAACACACTCCGCAAAATATTGTCTAATTATTATAGATAAAATCCCATAAAAATATTGAGATATATTTTTTGTCAATATCACACACTCCTAATATATTTAACGTTTTGTTTACATTTTTTTAAAATAAATATGAGAAGTGCCCTTTTTTCCACTTGAGCCCCTGCCCCTCAAAATGTCTGTGCACGTCCCTCTATATACAGGCACTGGACTAAAAATACAATCAGTCATCGCTCTCAAAATGAATTCAACGGGTCATCTTGTTAATGCTATAAATTAATTACAACAATAAAAGTAAATTTCATCATGAACATACATGAACAACAATATCACATTAAACCATAGAAATTCCAAAATGACATTTCCCTTACATTGCGTAGCTTGTCAGTGCAAGTGTTTTTATTAATTAATGTTTTTGTTAATACAGCGTATAGCACTAGTCAACTGAATGAATGTAACATGGCAAAGATTATCTGCGATTATGAACGCAATATTGCATGTTTTTGTTAATACAGCGTATAGCACTAGTCAACTGAATGAATGTAACATGGCAAAGATTATCTGCGATTATGAAAGCAATATTGCATAGCTTGTCAGTGATCTATGGCTCCGTGTATTAAATGCCGCTCCATCTGAAAGCACGTGATGGAGATTTATCACAGAACCGGCTTTACTGACGAGATGCGCATGACAATCACATGCGATTTATCGTGCAGCCCTAAGTTTGTTTGTTGATCATAAAGTACAAAGTAGATGAGGAAAACTAGGATGCCGGGTGTATTCAAAGTGCCGCCATTACTGTCTAGAGTGCGTGGAATGGTGCGCTGTGATTGGTTGAGCGGATATATCGCATTCTGTAGTGAAGAGAGACTGGTGTTTGTCGCGGTTTGGAAAGAAAGGGAGAAAACATGACAGAATAACTCGGCGTATATCGCATTTTGCGTAAAATTAAAAATGGACTTTTCAATACCGACCAGATACAATACTGATTTTGGCGGAAACTCAATAAAATTATATAATTTATAAAATAAATAAATAAAATTTATCGCGTTTTGGAACCAAACTCTTCAAATATACTTTTATCTTTCAAAAAAATCTTAAAATCTAAAAATCGTACCATTACAATAATATTATATCAAAATAACTTGACATGGTTCAAAAAATGTGAACAAAATGTGTTGGTTCTTTGGTTCTTTTAAAGAGAACTCAAGTATGAACACTTTCAAAGAGTAACTGTTTCTATGAGCAGCAGAGTATAAGCCGAACATGACTTAATTTGGAGACAAGTGACATGCTAGTTTGTCGCTTTCACCACACCATGTTGAACATGAGAGCTGCTGCTTTAACCATCATATTTAAGAAGTAGCAGTATTTTATTACAATTCAAATCACAATATTTGTCAAAATAATATTTGCCAATATTTGACTAAATCGCACAGCTTTAAATCTAATTTTAGCTTTAGACCACCCACATAAGTACCGCAGTATAAAGAGACTCCAGACTCCAGGCTGATATCAGTTTGGCCAGCATTAGTCTCAGCTCAGAATGGACAGTTAGTACATTTGAACAAGACAAGCAAAGAACACCTCTGCCAGAACAGAGAAAAGGAAAGTGACAAGACGTCTAAGAGAGGACTAAGAGAGCTTCTTTGTCTTTGAACAGCTGTAAAACCACAAAAGATCTTTCTAAGAGGATATGACTACCTTCTGAATAACCTCAGGAGACATATATATCCATTTTGTCTGGAGGCCCTGGTGAGAACTGCCTCTCAACAGCAACCACCTTTGCTCTTTTTCCAATATACCATAGAGCCGCAGAAGATTATTTCTAAAGTCAAAAAAGTAAATGGGTCTTTCTGCTATTGTTGATTAATCACAAAGAAAGTTCTGGTGAAAGGTGACATGTCAGACCACAGACGTCAACCTGCTGTACAAATGGTTTACTTACAGTCATCTCTGCAAATTAAACTGCGATAACAGAAACTATTTAAAGATGAAAAAATACACACTGAACTCCCGTTGTTCAATACACACTGAAATCCTGTCCTGTTGAGGTTTACTGCAGGAGTACGAGGGAAGACGGAGAACAGGTAATCACTGCTATTACATGTGATCTGTCACTTAATAAAGTGAGTAATAACTGTCTTTTTTTGAAACC